TAAATATTAAAAACTTCAAATATCATATTATATATATTCAAAATTCTTAATGGGATAGGAAAATCAATTTTTTTCATTAAAATATGACCACTTTTATAATTCGAAATATTCTCTTCGATTATATCGATCATTTACTCAAAGGGTTGCATAACTGAGTAAGCAAATTCAATATTTTTATACCCTCCACCATAGTATGGAGGGTATATTGAGTTTGTCATTCCGTTTGTAACACCTCGAAATATGCATTTCAGAACCCACAAAGTATATATATTCTTGACCAGGATAAAATGCTATGTTGATTTAGCTATGTGTGTCCGACTGTGGAAATCACTCGAGTTTCCAAACGAAATGAAGTAGGATGATAAAATTTTGCTCAAATATATATTATGTCTGCAGGGATTTTGGTATTGAAAGTGGGCCAAGTAGGTCGACGTTTTGGTATAGCTCTCATGGTGCCTACCTATTTTCGGTATTTTGGTAATTTATGTTTCAAATTTGTTATTTTGAGTTTGCAATGGATGCTGCAGCCTAGGACAGAAAATTGTCTGTGCAGGTCCACGTTTTGGTATATAATATATATTGGTACCTCTCTGTATTCTGTATTTTGATGATTTTGGCTATATTATTTACCGGATATTTTTTAAAGTTTAATATTTGAATATTGTAATGGCTTATGTCAAAAGTTGCCTATGCAGGTCCACGCCTTCGTATAGACCCCAATATAACGGCTATATGGTATTTTTAAGATTTTAAGAGAATTTTTAAAGGATTTTATTTTATTTTATTTTTTTTTTTTTTGAAAATTTCCAAATTCGTTCCAAATGGTGGGGGGTATTCAAAGTTCGGGCCGGCCGAACGTACAGCTTCTTTCCTTGTTATTTTTATCTTATCTTGTATTAGTAGTTTTGGTTATTCAAAACTTTGACCCTTTGTTGGGGGGAGGTACCAGAAGGAATGGTACGAGCTCAACCATCTTTACAACTGATCTTGTGTTGATGGAAATATAGAAATGCAGCAAGTCTGAATGGAATCGGATGTCAATTTCGGATTTTATGAGCATCGTGGGCTTTCAAAATTTTGACCCTTTGTGGGCGAGGTATCAGAAAGAGTCAATCGCCATTTTCCACCTTCACACCACACTTTGGTTAAATAAAAATATTGTAATGTGTGTAATTTGTAGACAATCGGACTATTACATCACAGTTTATAAAAATTATAATTATTCAAAATTTTGACCCTTTTTGGGGTAGGTACTTGATGCAGTGCACCAATATTATCCATTTTCGCACCTGACCTATCACTCGCAAAAATATTGGGATTTACAAAGTTTCCACAAAATCGAATGATTCTTTCCCTTTCTATGAGGTAAATGGTTTTCTTTGAAAATTTCAACTATTTGTGAGGATGTACCAGAAGGATGGACCGATGTTGCCCATTTCCGGACTCGATCTGAATATGAAGTATCAAATTGGGGCCAAATCGGATACTGCCTTCGAATGTTGTCGTGCGAATCTGCCAGTCAAACAGACCTCTAGACGGACAGCAAATGTCATGAAACGGATTTGGTCCAAAGACACCTACGGTATTAAACCGTTCTATCGATGAGGTACGTTTTGGCCGTATTGAATGATATATATCCTTTTTAGCCATATGGCTGAGGGTGGATACTCCCTTTCATTTATATGAAAAATATAACTGTTTACAAATTTTGATATTTTGCGGAAGAGGTAGTTGTGCCGACTTTGGAACAATTGAGATACTTGTTTTGAGAGTTATCGTGCACACCACTCCCAAATATCCAGGATCGGCCCAAAGAGACATAGAATATAAAACCCGTTCTTTATGCCCTAAATAGCAAAACTCAAATAAAAAAAAATAATTTATTCACAGAAAATCGGTCCTGGTCACACCGACAATTTTTCTCGAAAAATTTTAATACAAATGTGCGGACTTTTGATATAACCCCGTCCCGCCTAAAAATGTCATTCTGGTTAGCTGCCCAAAATGTCTTTAATTTAAAAATTTTTCTTTGTCGGACTAATAATATCATAGGATTTTCTTCAAAATCTAGGTAAATTTTTAAAATGTTTCTTAGAATTTTTTTCAGGTTTAATAAAATTTAAAGTATTTTTTTTTTTTAAATATATTTTTATGCAAAAATTAAAAAAAATAATCCACCAAAGTTGTCATATCAAAAAGCTTGAAAAGCCGCGAATGATCACTTAGTCGCCAGGATTGCAAAGTTTTAATAGAGAGTAATATGAAGATATGCCACTGTGAGAATAATTCAGATTGAATCTACATGGTCTTCTGGGAGATCTACTTTCACTAACCAAAAATTGAAATTATAGGTCCATTATTTGCTGTAATCCCACAAAATTTTCCGCTAGTGTTCTTGCACGTTAATCAATAAGAGAAATCCAAAGTTGTATACACGGTAATAAAAACAAAGTTAAACTAACAGATCACTGCAGACAAAAAGTGTATATGGGCCAACAGAATGCCCGTTCAGATATTACCCTCTAAAAAATCACCTATGTCTTTTTCGGCTTTGGCAAGTGCTGGTATATTAAAATTTGAATTCGACCTAAAGTGGTAGCTGACCCAAAAAAACCTTTGTGTTAACCGTTTGATCATTAATTTTGCCTTTTTTAAAGGCAACTATCGCATAGTCCACCCATATCATTATTAGTCTTCGAAAATATTACGAAAGTTTTAATTTTTTTATACCCCTCACAATAGTATGGAGGGTATATTAAGTTTGCCATTCCGTTTGTAACACCTCGAAATATACATTTTAGACAAAGTATAAAAATACTATATCGATTCAACGATGTCCGTTCGTTTGTCCGTCTGTCCGTCTGTGGAAAGCACTCTAGCTTCCGAACGAAATGAAGTAGATTGATAAATAAAATTTTACTCAAATGTATATTATGTCTGCAGGACTTTCGATATTGAAAATGGGCCATGTTATAGCCCCCTCATTTTGATATAGCCCCCTCATTTTCATATAGCCCCCAAATAACGGAACCTCCCGATATTCGGTATTTTGTTGATTTTAGTGACATTATTCACCGGTATTGTTTCAAATTTGGTATTTGAAGTTCGTAATGGATACTACATTCTAAGACAGAAAATGAGCCATGTAGGTCCACGTCTTCGTACAGCCCCAAAATAAAGGGACCTCCCGATATTCGGTATTTTCATGATTTTAGCGATATTTTTTACCGGAATTGTTTCAAATTTGTTATTTGAAGTTCAAAATGGATGCTACAGCCTATGACAGAAAATTGTCTGTGCACGTCCAAATCTTCGTATACCCCCATATAACGGTACCTCCCGATATTCGGTATTTTGAGGATTTTAGCGACATTATTTACCGGAATTATTTCAAATTTGTTATTTGAAGTTCGAAATGGATGCTACAGCCTAAGACAGAAAATGTTCTGTGCACGTCCAAATCTTCGTATAGCCCCCATATAACAGCACCTCCCGATATTCTGTACATTGTTGATTTTAGCGACATTATTTACCGGAATTGTTTCAACTTTGGTATTTTAAGTTCGTAATGGATACTACATCCTAAGGCACCTCCCGATATCGGGCATTTTGATGATTTTAGGGACATTATTTACCGAAACTATTTCAAATTTGGTATTTGAAGTTTGTAAGCCTATGACAGAAAATGTTCTGTGCACGTGAAAATCTTCGTATAGCCCCCATATAACGGTACCTCCGATATTCGGTATTTTGATGATTTTAGCGACATTATTCATCGGAAAAATACATTTGGTATTTTTAAGATTTTCACAGAATTTTTAACGGATTTTATTTTTTTGACATTTGCCAAATTAGTTTCAAATGATGGAGGGTGTTCATAGTTCGAACTTACAGCTTTTTTACTTGTTTTTTTTTTTTAATATTGCCAAATTCGTCCCGAATGGCGGAGGGTATTCATAGTTCGGCCCGACCGAACTTAATTTTTTTTTTGTTATTAAAATGTTAACTTCATGCCCACACTCTTACATTATTTTATATAGTTTTTTATACCCATCAATGGTTGGGGTTTTGGCCAGAAAATTCTTACTCTGAATCACTGTGTGGCGACAATAACTTAATAGTTGAAATAACATTTTTCTATAATTTTAAATCAGCATTTTATTTTGATTAATTTATGTCTCCATTTAATTTTTTACTAAGTTTTTAAATGATTTTTTTTTTTTTTTTTTTTTTTTTTGTGAAAAAAAATATTAATCAAGAATTTATTTTTAATTGATTTTTATACCCCTGAGTTTTTATTTTTTTTTTTTTAATTAGTGATATTTTTCTGTTAAACATTAAATTTTCCCAAAGCTAAATGATAAGCATAAATCTATAAAATTTAAGTGAATAATTTAAGAGCTTCTGATGTAAATGTTATTTGTTTGTTTGTTTTTGTTGTGTGGCCCTTTTTTTGAGTATCCGCTTTCCGTTTCCTGCTACATTAAACATGATTTGGATGTACTTTATCTATTTCAAATGGTTTTTTGTGTTATTGCGTTTTTTCTTCACTTGTTTTTGTACATATATTTTGGGTTTTTTTGTTTTTATTTCCCATTTTGTTTTCTCTTTGGTTTTCCATTTATTTCTGTTGTAAATAAAAAAATAATTTTATGCTTTTCCAGCTGTAGATATTTACAAATTAAACGCCATGCTTTAAAGCAAAATACAAAAAAAAAATAAAATGCAAATAAATGAAAATTAAATAAAAATGCGAAAAATAAATATTTAAAAATTAAAAAAAAAACAACTGTAAACAAATATTTAGTTACTTTTTTTGGCTTATTGTTAAAATAGCAAAACAAATTCTTAAGGGATCTGTAAGCGGATCCCGTTTTGTTGTTTCTGTTTTTCTTTTCTAAATCTTCTCTTGTCTTAAAATGAAAATACATAACTCTCTCTCTCTCTTTGTGATACAATCAAAACGTTCATTGTGTTGTTATTTGTTATAACCCTTACAGGTTTAAAGAACAGGAGGCCTCCATCCTGATTGACAGATCGTACGTATCTCTCTCTTTCTATATCTCTAACTATTTTTGTTTAGCATACAACCATACATACCTACATACATAATATGTGTTCTACTCACATTATGCATAAACTTTCATAAGATTATGTTTTTTTTTTTTCAATGTAGATAAAAATAAAATTAAAAAAAAATATTAAAATATTGAAAAACCATCCATATGGTGGTTTCAAAATGCTTTCTCCTCCCGTGTGCTGCTGCTTCTGAGGGGGGGACTTGAAAATACTCTACTACGCTTTATAAATATATATACTCTTTTGCGCTTTTCACACCAAATTGTTTTATATTTATTTATTTATTTCTTTTTTTTTGTGCGCTAAATTTAAAAACAAAAATTCGTATTCATAGACATTCCAAAAGTGCACACCTTCAAAATAAAATCTAAAAAAAAGCACACACACATATACACATATATTTTTAAATTGTATCCCAACAAACGAATGCCAAAGAATGCTTTGATTGTGTGAATTTTCATTTTCGAGCACTTTATTCCATTTCTCACCAAAAAAATTAACAATTTTCAAATAATTACAATAATCGTAAAAAATAAATTATTTAAAAATATATATATATATATAAATATTGTTTACTATATAAATTTTTTGGTTGTTTTCAAACATGGCAGTATCAGAAAAAAAACTGAAAATTTAATTTCAATTATTTTTATTTTTGTGTTGAAAGACCAGAATGTTTACTCTGCCATCCATTGCACACTTCTTGCGGAGCATCCAAATTTTTCGATTGTTATTTTTTTTTTTGAAATTTTCATGCATAAATATGTAGTTATTTTATTTATATTAACAAGTGTTAAAATATTTAAATGTGTTGTATTTTCATATAATTTGTTATGTTATTAGTCTTTCACTTATGTGGTAATTTTAAGACAGCTTCCAAAATAATTAAATTTCAAAGAAAATGAAGAAAATAAAATGAAATAAATAAACAAAAATAAAGGGAATGAAATGTCCTGCCAACAAGGATAAATAACCCTGAGCAAAACAAACACATAAAAAAGCAGCAAAAGCTTTAAAACCCTCCAACAATTTGGAAGGAACTTGAAATTTTTCAAAAAAAACTTCCGGAAACTACCACTTAAATGAAAACTGCTATATATGAAGAATATAAGAAGACGTGGACCTTACGAAATTTTTTGTCATAGGCTGTAGTACCCATTACGAACTTCAAATATGCAATTTGAAACGATTCCGATGAATAATGTTGCTGAAATCATCAAAATACCGAAAATCGGGAGCTACCGTTATATGGTGGCTATACGAAGACGCGGACCTGTGCAGGCAATTTTTTTTGCATAGGTTGTAGTACCCATTAGGATCTTCCAAAATGAAATTTGAAATAATTCCGGTACATAATGTCGCAAAATCATATCAAAAATACCGAATATCGGGAGGTACCCTTATGTGGGGCTATACGAAGACGTGGACCTGCACAGACAATTTTCTGTCTTAGGCTGTAGTACCGATTACGAACTTCAAATACCAAATTTGAAACAATTCCTATGAATAATGTCGCTAAAATCAACAAAGTACCGAATATCTGGAGGTACAGTTATATGAGGGCATTACGAAGACGTAAACTTGCACAGACAATTTTCTGTCATAGGCTGTAGTATTCATTTAAAACTTCAAGTACCAAATTTGAAACAATTCCGATTAATATTGTCGCAAAAATCACCAAAATACCGAAAATAAGGAGGTACGAATTTATGGGGACTATACCAAAAGGTGGACCTACATGGCCCATTTTCAATACCAAAAGTTCTGCAGACATAATATACTTTTGAGTAATATTTTATCAACCTACTTCATTTCGTTCGGAAGCTAGAGTGATTTCCACAGACGGATAGGTGGACGGACATCGCTAAATCGACATAGAATTCTATGCTGATCAAGAATATATATATACTTTGGAGTCTAAAATTTATATTTGGAGGTGTTACAAACGAAATGACCAACTAGATATACCCCCCATACTATGATGGAGGGTATAATAAAGAGAATGAAATGTCCTGCAAATAAGGATGCATTACACTGTACGATACAAAAAAAACCGCAAGCCTTCATCATCGCTAAAAAGCTAAAGCTTAAAATAGAGCAGACTTGCATCGACGTTTTTAAAGTTTACATCGCAAAGTAGGCGGGCTTGGAGGGAGAGAAATGGTCTTCATAGGCGAGCCTAAAGGAAGCCTGTCTCTTGAAGGGTGTTTTATTTTTCTCCAATGGAAAGGGAAGCCTGTCTCCATAGGCGAGCTTGAGTGAAGCCTATCTCCATAGACGAACTTAAAAGTGAGCCTATCTCCACAGCCGAGCTTGAAGAGAACCTATCTCCTTAGACGAGTTTGAAGGGAGCCTATCTCCATAGGCGGCTTGAAGGGAGCCTATCTCCATAGGCGAGCTTGAAGGCAGCCTATCTCCATAGGCGAACTTGAAAGGGAGCATATCTCCATAGCCGAGCTTGGAGGTAGTCTATCTCCATAGGCGAGCTTGAAGGGAGCCTATCTGCATAGACGAGCTTGAATGGGAGCCTATCTCTCATAGGAGAGCTTGAAGGGCGCCTATCTCCATAGGCGAGCTTGAGTTGAGCCTATCTCCATAGGCGAGCTTGAGTTGAGCCTATCTCCATAGGCGAGCTTGAATTGAGCCTATCTCCATAGGCGAGCTTGAATTGAGCCTATCTCCAAAGGCGAGCTTGAAGGGAGCCTATCTCCATAGCCGAACTTGGAAGAAACCAATCTGCATACGCGAGTTGAAAACGACATTCCTGTCCCTCTCTGTAGGCGAGGCCTACTTCTCTATAGGCAAGCTGAAGGCGACCTTCTTCTCTGAAGGCGAGCTGAAAGGGGACTCCCTTTTTATATGCAAGCTGAAGGCACGCTGAAGGGCGACCTCCTTCTCTATATGCGAGCTTAAGGCGACCTCCTTCTCTATAGGCAAGCTGAAGGCGAACTCCTTCTCTATAGGCGACCTCCTCCTCTGTATACGATGCAATGCAATCTCCTTTTCTATAGAAGAGCTGAAAAGAGGGCTTCCTTCTCTATAGGCGAGCTGGAGGATGCCTTCATCTATGAGCTGAAGGTGACATCCCTCTCTATAGGCGAACTGAAGGTGCACTAAAGGCGACCTCCTTCTGTATACGTATCCCTCAATATTGGCGAGCTGAAAGGAGCCCCATTCTCTGTAGGAGAGCGGAAGGGGGCTCTTTCTTCTACAAGCGAGCTGAAGGCAGAAAAGTTTCACATCTCTTGCCATTTTTTGGGAGAGTCAGAAATATGATTATTTTCTTAGAATTTTTCCCAAGAGGTTTTAGAATCTTACCATGAACCATCTGGACCTATTTTGGTAAATGTGTAAAGAGTTGTAGCCGAAAGGATTTCTACACATATCTAAATATATCCTTAAAGTATGAACTCATTTGTCTCATTTTTAAAGAAACGTTGTCTTTTCCTATCACACCTGATCAACGGGGTGACCCAAAATGGCACTGCAGTTTACTGTTTCTTTCTAAAGTATCATCCTCCCTTTTTAGCTGTTCCAAATATGGATACACCTTGGCAATTTCTATTTTTTATCTATTAGAAGAAAGGAAGAACATGGTCTCGGAAAATTCCACCAGCCCTCATCATTTTTCTTGATTTTTTAATGGACATTTTCTCCCCAGAAAATTTAGCAAGAAGGCTTAACTTCTACAGATCACATTTTCGATTTTTTTATTCCCAGGACAGTATCATTTTAGCGGACTTTCAGTGGACGTCTTTCTATACAAACATAGAGCTTAATTGTAATATTCTTGTGAAAAGGTTTGAGCTAATCACTTCTGTACTTACCTTACCGAAACCGATTTTTTTCATTTTTCAAAAAAAGAATTCTATCCATTTTTGCTAAGCTCTTGGTAATTACCTCCTGACTAATCTCAAATACTATGAATCTTTTCAAATTAGAAAGCAAAAAAAAAATCTCAATGGTTCATATTAGTACATGTGAACCTTATGCCTTTTTGGTTCAAAAGGCACTTTCAGTAAATGTAAACGTTTTTTCTGTATTGCCAAATTTATGATAGCAAGGTTTCACGATTTTTTAGAACTACCCTTGTCTGAGTATTTTATTGCAAATTTATATAAAAAAATGTATTCTCTTAAATATATATTTTTTTATTTCGAAAATTGTTAGTTTTTTTAAAGTTCGTCACTGAAATATTTCGGTTTTAATTTTTTTCAATGAAAATTTTAAAAAATAAAAATCCTTATTTGTACCTTCTTTTTCTTTAATAAATTTCATTGAATTTTTCTTCCGACCTCAATTAACATTTCTTTTGCATTAATGCACGTACGTGTGTTTCTCTTTTTCTTGTCACACATTCTGCAAAATATTATTTCGCCCAAAAACAATTAATTTCCCATAACGGTATTCTTTCTCAATATTTTTGTGTTAATCCCATTTAGAAAATTCTTAATAATGAGTTCATGTTTACGTCAATTTTATTTGTTGATAGCATTGTTGTTGTAGTTGATGTGCTTCTTGGTCTTGTTATTCTAAAAATCGTATTAATTTTTCATATTATCCAATTTACATAGAGGTATATTTATATAATATTATTTATAAATATTTGTATTATTAATTTAGTGTAAATAATACTGAGAAATTTTTGTGTTTCAATAGAATTGTAATTGGTGAATTTTCTTAGAGAAAAGGGTGTTTATTGTTCTGGTTTTATTGAATTTATTATAAATAGCGGTCATTGTGACGTATACTTATTATAAACAATCATACGTCACATGGTACGTACGGTGAGCATGTTTTACACAATATAGGCAGAAAATATCTATTAATTTTTGAATTTTAATATTGAAAAGCAATTTTATTCGCAATTATTGTTTGTCGGACTCATTTGAAAATTTATAGCTTACAAATGTTATTCGTGATGAAAATTGCGTCAATTAATGGGAAATCTAAGAAATAT